AGGGGAAAAAGGGAGGGGAGGGGGGGGGGGGATGGGAGAGGTAGTATTCAAGCTCTTGTCACAAGGTCATCATGGTTGCAATGGATAGCAGCGGTGGAATGATGGCCGGCATGCAGAGACTCCTCCAGGCTGGACCTGCACTGAGATGACAGCAATCGGTATACACAGACAGACGGCCTTGGAATTGGAATCATTAAAATCGGCAACACATTTCGGGTACAACCCCTTTTTTTGAAGCCTAGTTAAGAAGTGGTACTGCCTTATGACAGGTCAGTTCAAAGGGATCTTGGTGCAATTTTTTTTTTTTTGCATGCAAACAATGTGTATAAAAAAAATAAAAAATATTTACACTTAATTGGTGAATAAAACGTGTAAAAACCGGACAATGTGTTTCGCAGCTTTAACAATTTTTATAACTTAAAAAATCCAGAGTAATAGTATGAGAACTGAATTGATGAAATGTCTTCAGTAGTGAGCATATTCCACCACTAGGGGGGAGACACAATACATAGACTGTACTACACAACATAGTAACAGATTACAGCATGGGTAGCCAAACTTCAGCCCTCAAGCTGTTGTGGAACTTCACATTCCATGAGGCATTGCAAGACTGACAGCCTTAGGCCTCATTCACGCTAGAAACAGCCGGCACGTACAGCTCCGTGCTGCGTGCACGGCCATATCGGGCAGCTTTTGGGAAGGACAGGTGCTGCGTGTGATTAGTACGCAGCCCCCGTCCTTCTCTATGGGACTACACGGCCATACGCCCCCCCTACGTTCACCTCAATTGTAGGTCCGTGGGGGTGCCGGCGAGCGTACTCGTATGCTGACAGGATGGATCCTGTCTGCGTCCGAGCCAGGACACCCACACTTGGGGTGAGCATAGGGGGGTGTACGGCCGCGTAGTCCCATAGAGAAGGACGGGGGCTGCGTACTAATCACACGCAGCGCCTGTCCTTCCCGGGGGTGGCCCGATACGTCCGTGCACACAGCACGGAGCTGCACGTGCCGGGCCAATTCCAGTGCGAATGAGGCCTTAGGCATAACTTACAGAGGCAAATACAGGAGGGGATTTGTAGTGGCAACACAGCTGGAGCCTGCTAAATAAAAGGTTATGTAGGTGAGGGGCGGAGGAGCTAGGCCAGCACAGTAAGTAATTAGACACTCCCAGAAGAGGAGGAGATGTGCTAGGGAGTTGATTCTTCCTGAAGAAGTCAAAATGTGTTAGCAAGTTCTGCAGCACAGTGCAAGGGAATAAAAAATAATTAATGCAAAAGGAATAACTTTATTTTTTCATGACGAGGACTATTTAATGGATCCTCTCTTATGAAGGACACAGATCTGGGGAGCCCAGGTGGACAAGGGCGACACCATGGCCTTGTGCAGAGAGGACAAAATACAAGGCGGCCATTGCTGGTTCCCGTCACCTGCACGCACCCAGCCTGTCCCTCCATACATACGACATCGCACCGGAGGACAAACACTTACCGGCTCTCGCTCCTTTTCCTTCTCCAGCTTCTCGATTTCCTCTATCAAGCTCCGAACGGCCGCCTGCAGCAACTCCAGATGAGACTCATCCACAGCATACAGGTCCTCTGGGAGAAGATGAAGCCGGCAGTTAGAAGTCCATATGCACAGTTCACAGATCCCATAAGGAGTCATGCGGACAGACTGAGATCAGGACCCAAGAACAAGACTTACTGAGCTTGCCGCAGATGTCGGCGTCGGTTTCATCGTATGTGTCGCTGCCTTCCATAAACTGATTGTAGCACTTCACAGTGTAGTCCAAGAACACCTGCAACCACACAAAAGAAGGTTACACGCCTGACCCGGGATACACTACATTGCCAAAAGTATTGGGACGCCTTTACACACAGAGGTGTACCAGAGATATGAGGGACAGAGGGACGCATGACCTCTCTGTGACCAGAGGTATGAGGCACGCATGACCCCTCTCCCTAGCGGTGCACTCCCAGTAAACACTGACCCCTAGCGGTGCACTCCCAGTAAACACTGACCCCTAGCGGTGCCCTCCCAGTAAACACTGACCCCTAGCGGTGCACTCCCAGTAAACACTGACCCCTAGCGGTGCACTCCCAGTAAACACTGACCCCTAGTAAACACTGACCCCCTAGTAAAACACTGACCCCTAGTAAACACTGACCCCTGGCGGTGCACGCCTAGTAAACACTGACCCCTAGCGGTGGACCCCCAGTAAACACTGACCCTTAGCGGTGCACCCCCAGTAAACACTGATCCCTAGCGGTGCACCCCCAGTAAACACTGACCCCTAGCGGTGCACTCCCAGTAAACACTGACCCCTAGCGGTGCACTCCCAGTAAACACTGACCCCTAGCGGTGCACTCCCAGTAAACACTGACCCCTAGTAAACCCTGACCCCTAGCAGTGCACTCCTAGTAAACCCTGACCCCTAGCGGTGCACTCCTAGTAAACACTGACCCCTAGACAGGTGGTGTCAGTAGAAACACTCACCCCAGGTCTTTGAACACGCGTGGGATCTCCTCCTCGAACTTAGAGTCTGGGATCTCATAGTTCGAGCAGATAAAACTATAAGTGAAGGCGAATAGCTTGAGAAAATCCTTGGTTGAAGGACCCTGTAAGGATTTCACGGTGAGGGTCTGGGAGTAGCTATTTTCATTCAGGAACTGCGGGAAGAAGCAGAGAGGACGGTGAGGGAAACAGGCAATAAAAAGCCGCTTTGTTTTATTCTATTTACTCTCATAGAAGACAGGGCGCGGAGACAAAGAATCTTCCATTACGGGGGGTTTGGCAATATAAAGTCCTGCAAGGAAAACCAGAGATCACTTCTATATCTATAGATTTGCTCCTATCATAGTACGAGTATACACCTGTTTAGGGATCGGGGTATTTGTATACTTGATGTTTGAATAGTTACATTGTACACATCACCCATTGTACACATCACCAATTCCTAGGACTTTTTGCTCATCCCTTGATGGGCCTTTCTGAACGTGGGAGCCGTGCCACCCTGGGGTGCCTTCTGGATGCATCAAAGTTTACGCACAGTGATATGCCTGTTAATAGCGCAGGTGGGCTACGGATGTGATGGGGGAACTCTGATGTGAAAGAGGGGGGCTCAGATATATCGAGGGGGACCTCTGATATATAAGGGAGGCTCCTGATGTGACGCTGTGACTCTAAACTGAAAAGAGGGGGGATCTGATCTGAAGGGGGGTTCATACTGTAGTGTGGGACTGGAGACTCTGATGTGAAAGGAGGGGGTTCCTAATATAAAAAGAGGTGCTCTGATGTGAAAGAGGGGGGCTCAGATATAAGGGAGGCTCCTAATGCAACTACATAAATCTGATGTGAAAAGAGGGGGGGGTTCATACTGTAGTGTGGGAGTGGGGACTCTAATGTGAAAGGAGGGGGCTCATGATGTGAAGG